ATGGTTTTAAAATGTAATGTTATTTCAATAAATTTGAACAGTTAAACTTTATTACAATTTTGTTGGGGATGATTTGGGACAGGTGGGGCTTACAACCCTTCCATACCTCCAAAGTGGGGAATGACAGAAAAAGTTTAAGAAACACTGAACTATAGTATAGTCTAGTTTTTGTCGTGTAAAACTGGACTAAAACTATAACATATAGAAGTGACTAAAACTTGACAAAATCTAATAAGCATTTTAGTCCAAAAGACTACGACTAAATCTAAGATGCTTGTCAAAAACACCACTGAACAAACAAGCTATCGAAAAGGGATGTTTATATTAAAGTAAACTTCTTTTGCTCCATTTCCCCATGAGGCTCACATTCACACATCCTCACTAAGCTTCACACAGGAATTAATGTTTTTAAACTGTTGCATCTATTAGTGCCATAGCGGGGCGTTATACGAGAGAAGATGAGCCTAGACAAACTACTGTCAGATCTGCTGCGCTTGTTTCGAATGAGATTAAGAGAGGCGCTCACATTCACTTTCTCTTCCCAGCAGGCAATTTGTCTGCTGTCAGAGGGAGCAATTTAAACCTTGCTGGGTTCCTTGGCTCATAGGATGGCTTCTGGATCACTATCAAGAGGAAGAGGAGGTTTAATCTCATGTCCCGAACATCTTGGCAATAATGAACTGACTTCATCTAAACCCGTTTCAGTAACTGAAGGGAACGGAAAGCCAACACACACACACACACACACACACACACACACACACACACACACACACACACACACACACACACACACACACACAAAAACTTAAATGAAAGCTGCAAGCAGCGATCGAAGGGCTCTTGCACCTCAGGCGCTATTGGCCATGTCATTGCACTATTCACTACGATCATTCCTTATTTAGGAGATGTATTGTATCAAGCAAGAATTGTTAAAATTACTGAATAATACAGGCAAAAATAAAAAAAATGGAAACCACATCAAGTGACATGACCCCCAGGTGGCGCTATGAATTAGTTTAAATATTTTTCTGTTAATGTTTTCGTTAATAGGGTTTAACAATAGGGTTATGTGCACCTCCTGTTACCTTGCAAAATTCCTGAGCAAGTTTTTAGTATCAAGCCAAAAGTTTTAACTATTAAAAAAAAAATGCTTTAACTATTAACTCTCCAGAATTTAACTTAAAGTGGTCAATGGTTGTAAAGATAACCACAGTGCTGTTTGGCTACAAAAAAAAAAGAATACTGAAATGTTGACAATGATGTATAAAAATATGCATCGTCAAGATGATTAATGGTTTTGTTTATTAGAACATGTCTTTTAGTCTTAAAGAGAGTATTCAGCATTGCTTTTTTATATTAAGTGCCATTCGTACACCATTTTAAATACAGCTCAATGTTGCTGCTCTTATAATCAGAATGCATTTTTGGTAAATAGCACTTTTAAAGTTAAAGATTAACCTTTACTTTTGTCCAAAGTCAGCATTTCCCAATAACTTTTTATATTTTAAGTGATATTATCTTTGCAACTTTAAAAACATTTGTAAATACAGTATCTAGATTAGTGACACTGCCCCGTGAGAGGTTACTAACACTTACAGGTACACATTGCTAGTTAGACCCCCTTTCCCCCCCGAGAACTGGCTTAATCTTCCGTGGCATAGATTCAAAAAGATTCCAAGTTATTGGGGCATGCCACCAGCGTTCAATCAGCCGTTAACTCATATATAAGATGAAAAATCTTGACATTGAAAGAGTGACTTGAAATGTTTTTATTGACATTGTTAGAGCTTCTCCCGTTCTTCATTCTGGGACACTCAACACCCCAAATCAACCAAAAGTTGATACCCCAAATAAACCCGAAAACGTCCCCTTTTTACAGAACTTTTTTTTTACAAACTACAGGTGCAAAACTATAGGTTTTGAGGTAGTATTAATCCACAAAAAGCTGTAAATATGTTTAAGCGATATTTACAAGCAGTACACATATTTTAGTATTATTTGAATGACTGCTGCAGAGTTCAGACTTACAAAGTAAATGAACCAGTAAACATACTAGGTGAGCTGTCTAAAGAAGCTTGGAAAAGTCCTTGATTGAACGTTTTCACGTGTGGAGAAGGAGTCGTGTATTAGTCTGACCTCAACGAGTGGAAGCTAGCAAGCTACTTTTTTACCACTTCATTAATTAGCGGGAATCACATTCACTGGTTTATTAGCGTCCTCAGCATCCTGTTAATACGACTATTCCCAAACTGAAAAAAAAGCGCACTTCCACATTTTCATAATGTAATGATGCACACTTTTTATTCAAATACAAAATTACAAAGAGCTTGGTTTGACAAAGAAGGCTGAGCACAAAAAAAACATCTTGAAGCAGCACTAGCTTCTAAGGCTGAATCTCATATCCAAGAGGATCCAAGCCTTTATCCAAGAGGAGAATTGAAGATTCCCTCATCTTCTGGAGAAACTTCTGTAGCTCATCTTTGGAGAATACCTAATAGAGAGAGAATCAGAGTGGATATCTTGTCATTTTGAAATTGACTTGAGTGTAACATGGCTCCAAACTCCAAAGTGTAGTCAGACACCATCCTCTTAATGCTTTCGGCCCCTCACCTCGTACAGACGGTGCTGGTCTGAGGCGATGATGTCAGCGAGGCGCAGGCTCTCCTGATGCCGCTCAGTTTTCTGCAGGACACTCAGCAACAGGAAGCTCATGAAAGGCAAACACAGTTGCCGGAGAAGTCTCATCTGATGGCTGCGCTCAGAGTCCTCCTCAGCATCCTGCAAACACAAACAGGCAGCAAATCCTGGAGCTTCACAATTGTTGGTTATGTAATCAGATTGGTTCAAACAGAAATGAAAAAGAGAAGGATAATCAGATCTAAACACAACAATTCTTTGCTATTTCGTGTATTTTTACGGCTAGCATATGTACAGTAATTTATACAGGCAATGAGATTTTGTACTCGGGAAGCTGCCAGAAGAGCCATAAAGGCATCATTGGCTATTCACAGAAAACGTACCAATCCTGTATTGATGCAGGAGATGATCCCATTTCTTTTTCTTGTTCTCTTTGTTGAGTCAGAATAATTGGGTCAGCACTGATTGATTGATTGATTGATTGTAGCATGCAATGAGTGAATTGGGAAATTTTACTTGGTCTATAAATGAAGGGTGTATATTTGTGACAAATTTATTTACATTGAGTTCAGTGTCTGAATATACAAATATGTGGAGTTTTTTTTTAAACGTTTACTAATTTAATTGATCATTTAGTTTAACTTATGTTAAATTCACCTCCCAATGGTACAGCCCGTCCCATAGAGGAAGTATAAAGGGGGCCTGTATTTTCTGTTCAGGAGGAGCGCCCCTCTCTAGGACTCTGGGTTAATTGCTCTGCTTGTAAAGAAAGCGATCCTCATTGAGAGTGTCTACCGACAAGCTGAGGACATGGGTATATTTTGAACTTGTGTTAGCTAACCTTCTAGGGATGCCACAATACTCTGTTTTATACCGAACCATTCGTCACAGCCTCCTCAGTTCGGTACGTTTTTGTGAAGCATGTTTTTTTTCGGTTTCTCATTCGAATTAATAATGTATGTATGTATTATTATTAGTTTCACATGTGAAAAGGCTGATGTCCAGGAAAGAAACACATGTATGTGAACAAATATCCAATCAATGAACTGCTCCTTGTGTAAATACTCAACCAGCGAGCGCTAAAGTTAGAGGAGGGTGGGACTTAGTGTGTTTCACTGAGCCAGAGAGGAATTGTCAGCCGCTACGAGGAGACACATTCAATGTTCTTGCTGACGAATACACCTTCTTGTTGTTCTCGAAATCCGCGCACACTAACCCTCTGGTTACCGCATTACCACGAATCGTTTTCCGCATATGTGCTGTTATTAGGTAAAGTAAAGGATAGGTTGTACACAGTGCAGGGAGTGTTTCTAAAGGTAATAATACAGTAAATAATGCTGTTTAAAAAAATAATTCCTGCCCTGCCACCCTCGACCCAAGAACAGCGGATGCAGTTTCAACAGTACTGAGCTCTGTACTGTCTCATGTGGACAATAAAAACATATTTGCTCTTCCTGGATGATAGCTCTACATTTACCACGCTCACTCTCCTTCCGGTTTAATTCCCAAACTTGGGCATCGATACATCACTATGCAACTGGCTTCAATTGTGGTTTTACCCTCAATTGAATGCAACAAACAATTATTTGTAATGTTAAACACATGTAAAATGCTGAAAATCTCATATTGTTTACATCCTGTGTCTCGTGACCCTTTAAAGAAGTTTAAAAACAAGCATGAAAAAATGAATAAAACATTACTCTTCATTTAAAAAGATGGATGTGTTAATAATGCTACAGAAATGATACTGTCATCATCAGTCAAGATGGTCTTGGATGAGCCAAAAAGGTCCAGTTCAGGTAACTACATCAGGTTCACTGTGAGAAGATCAACGACTAAATCACAGCAAACTACTGTAGAAACTAAAACTTATGAATTATTCCACTTATTTTTATTTACTCCATATTTCTATGCATTTATTCCTGGTTTTGATGAGAATCGTCATGTCAATAAATGGAAGCCATGAAATTGGAAAAGTTGTAGGCCACTCACCATTCTGACATCCACCATCCAGCCTCCATCTACAAAAAGCAGGACATTGTAGATCCTCTCCTTCACATCCTCAGTCAGAGCAATCAAGCGCCCCTGCCAGCTCTCAAACTCCATCTTTAGCAAGACACAGAGATAACAGTTTGAAACACTTGTGAAAAAGAAGGTCCCTCAAGATCCAATACCTCTCTGCACAATGTCCAGTCCTTATGGCCACTAATCAATACTCCTACACATAGCTCCAGGAAGATAAATGTGGTGAAATATCTATCTGTGTGTGGGTTCAGGGTTGATGGGGTCGTGGTGGAGTAAACCCCTTTTTATAAGTCTCCTTAGGTTTAACATAGACTTAATGCAGAAGTCTAAATTAAGCTTTCCTGTGGCTCAGTTGGTAGAGCATTGCGCTAACAACGCAAAGGTTGTAGGTTCATATCCCAGGGAAAGCAAGAACTGACAGAAAAAATATACATGTTCATTCAAATGTAAGTCGCTTTGGATAAAAGCGTCTGCCAAATGCATAAATGTAAATGTAAACGCATAGAGACCAGTCAATGATCCCAGGTCAGGCCAGGGAGTGGGGACCATGCTAGTATGTAACTTCATTGGTCGATGGTACAGATCTCTGTTAAGGGTTCATTTTCTAATCAACTCAACCCTCTTATGTCACACATTTATAGTGAGAAACAATAAAGAAAAACTCAATTAAAGTTACATTTTATTCAGTTGAGTTGCCAAAAGCACAATTAGATTAGTGCTGGTTTTCCAACAAAACAACAAAAAAATAGATAAAGAGATCAATCTTTCTATCTCTCCAGTAAGGAATGGTCTGACCCATTAAACTGAGTGTACTGGTGTTGTTGTGTGTACTAACCTTGTACCCGGCCTCATCCATCTCATGGGCCACTTTCTCTGTGAACGTTGCCTGAGCAGGTGCTGTTGGCTTGACCGGAGGCCAGCTCATGTGCTTAAACCATTCATTAAACGCTTCATGAGCTTCCTGTGGGCGATGAACATCACACTGTGAACGCGTTCATTCCAGCATCACTGAGGATCAGAGACACAGCTGCTCACCAGATAAGCTCGGATACATAGATGCTCTCTAATGGCGTTCTCATCCTCAGCAGGAAGGGGTGTGTCTAATCCCTGCTCCTCCCACTGCCAGTAGATCTGACGCATGGAGTCTTCTGGGACTTTGGCGAATACCATCTTTGCAGCATTATGCTTCTTCGATGCTGAGTGGACATCAATGCAGTAAACTGAAGCTAACTGACAAAAACATCAAGCTTTTCCTTTACAGATTTAACATACGGCCAGATTTGCTTTCAAGATTTATTAAATTGTGTTTGTAAAATATTATTTTTTATTAATGGTTTAAAGTTTAAATTTACTTTGTATTTTAAAATGTTCATTAACCTTGAACTTCTAAACGAGTCACAGTGGCTGTATTGAATAAGTAGGAATGACACGAACCACCAATTGTTCAATTTTGATTTCAAAAAGGTTATTCATTTTGATATTTTTGGTTTTAAACAAACAATTAAAAGGGATGACAAAAAAATTTGTAAGCTAATTCAAATTGAAATGTGAAAAAATACGGGATCATCTATCATTTTCTTTTCAGAGCCCCAATCGGTGCCATCTAGTGGTGAAAAGAAGGGATAGCCCTTGTAAATTCAAAACCTGTGATATGGCTTCTATTTTTACAATTTTTGCTTCGTTGTGAAGGGGGGATTTGTTCACTTTTATTTTGTCTCAACACTTTTGATTTTTGTTATAAAACATAACAACTGTTTGATGTAATTTTTTTGTTTTTTGTATGTGTCTTAAAAAAATGACTTACTACTTTTTTTACAATTTCAAGTTTGTTGTGGAATTACTGTGTAATTTAATGAAAAAAGTATTTGTACACGTTCTACTCTCGTTTAATCTAAGTAATAAATTGTTTTGTTTGTAATGAATAAGATCTAAAGTACACATCAAAGTTTACTCAAGACCTAAATTTTCCTCACCTAAGAACTTCCTCATGATGGCGTTGCTCTGTTTTAGGGCTTCAGCTCTCTGTGCAGGATCAAACACCAGCCATTCGATGACGTCAATCTTCCGCTGGTCCTCCTACATCAAGAGTCCAATCATTATAGTGTGGCATGATAAACGCACACAAGAAAAGTTCAAAAAGAACAAAATGCTGGGTTTAACAGATTTGGTCAGAGTATAAATGCACTTATGAAGCCCTAGAACTATAATAAAGATGGACAGCGACTGAACTGAGTAGCAGCAGTAGTTCACAAGGCTCTGCTGAGATGGAGGTTTTCACTATGGTTGGGAAACTTGATAAAAAAAAACATGCGCTGCCATGACGTGTTGAAATGGTTGCAAAATATAATTAAGTTATAGATTTTCCTTCATGACCATATGATTTTTTTAAACAATAGGTTACTGCAAGAGAGAAATAGAAATAGAGAAAATCTGCCATAGAAAATCAGCAGTTTATAATAAACCCTTTACAATGATGAAGTTAATGTTAAAAAAAGTAATGTTTACTCAATAATTACTTTTTTAACCTTTCACTGTCCTGCTTAGGAGCCACCACATAGGGGATTAGGTGCTTCTTGTGAGCTGGACAGTTTTGTTATCTCCAGGGGAGCGAGCACCTGACGTGGTGTTCCCTCTTCTGGAAGGTAGCAGTGATTTTATGTAGTTATTTATTTATTTATTTTTCCCATGGACCAGTTTCCATTAATTACGTCAGGACAGGAGGGTGTGAAAAAGAAAGGGGGGGGGGTGAATGAGGGATGTAAATGAGGAGGAAAGATTCAGGAGTGTGAAGAATACCTACCTGAACATACTATAAAAGTTTGTTACAGTTTGTGCAGTACAATTTAAACAGTTTGTACATAACTCTACACATATAATGAACATTACTAGAAAACCTCAATGGCTAGAACATACCTAGAAAACCACGTATGTTTGTAATGTTTACTCAATTAAAGCCATGCAACTCAAATTAAGATCTTTGCATGTTAATTTAACTGGAGTTGAAATATAGGTTGATTTTTACCACTGTGGTTGCCATGTCCAGTGCAGGGGTCAGGTCATGGTGGGCAAACTCCTCTGTGTCTCTCTCTCTAATGGCTTCCACCACGGTTTTTGTTATTGCTGTCACATCCAAACCTAAACCCCACAAAACGATCACAGTACTATGATTTAACAAGCACAAAATGAACTTAGAGACTATAAACCCATTTATAGTGCTAAAACCCTCTGTCGGCACCTGCTTGTGTGGCCAGATCCAGACAGTGTCTACGCTGCTCGGTCTCCGTGATCTCCTCCAGATACTGGGCATACTGAGTCACAGCCGTGTCTACTGGGAGGTGACTCACGTAGAACGCAATTAGATCCACCTGCTTTTCCTTCACCAACAGCAAGATGTAGGCCTTCAGGACATCAACACACACCTCCTCCTGACAGAAGAAAACACAATGAGTCTGACTCAACACAACTTTAAACATGATTTGAGTGGACATACCTTGAGCTGAATGCCAAGAGTGCGGTAAAACAAGACTAAATGTGACATAAAGCGAAGGAGATGGCCTGGCAACGGAGTACTGCTTCCCAACCAATCGCTGAACTCCTGGAGAAGACCTTTTGAGACAAGTTTAGACACCTTTTGATTGGTGATAAATGAAATCAAATGTACTAAATGAGTTTTCTACACGTACCATCAAGATCTCCAAGAATAACAAACTTCTGAATCAAGTGGTAATGCTCCTTGGTGGCATCCAGAACTCTCTGTCATTAAAACATTTGGGAAGGATTACAAAAGAATACTTCTGGAGAGCTAACAAGTCACATACACACTGTTCGCTCCTGCTCACTTTGGATTCTGTGGCTTGAATATCTTCAAACACTTTCTCCAATGACCAACTTTAAAAAAAGAGAGAGAGAGAAATGCATCACTAAAACAGATAAAATGAAAATGATGCTTTAAACATACTGTAAAATTTTGAAGTTCTTCGATAGAGAAAAGCATTAATAAACAATTTAAAAACACAACAATGCAACACTAGAGGGCTAAAGTTTGTGCCCAAACTTTGATGTGGCATGAAAAAGTGGTGTTTGAAAGTTTAATAAGCAAAATGGAATAGTTGCCAAAGTAGAATTACTGGTTGCTACAGAGGAGTCAGTGACATCCTTCAAAGTTCCTCATTTCAATATGAATCATATAAACCAACCTCACGTCTCTGTTATTTTTCTTAGCTGAGATAGCAAGATACCAATTGTTTGCTATGGTGGGGTCAGTGACATAATATAATGTTTCCTTTGTCACTATAAGTAATATAAACCAACACCCATGTGTCTATCATTAAACAAAGCTGAGATAGAATACAGAACATTTGGTTGCGAGGATATACATTTTGGTTGCTACGGAGCTGTCAGTGATATCTTTTTTTAATTTTTTTTAATTTATGATAAACATAAATAAACCCCCATTTCTCTATGATGTTTCATGTGGAAGAAATTTTCATTTTCCATTTTTTTCCTCAATGGCCATTAGTCAATGGTAAATATTGAACACTTTCTAGAGCCTGGGGTTTAAATACTGCTGCACAATGCTTGGTGTGTTCTAGCAGAGACTGATAACCTCCACATTTGTGGTCTGTCTGGCGTTTCTTTGAGGTTCTCAGTTTGAGTCACAGTTTTTAGAAATTTGAACCCAGTTTTAAGTCAATGGAAAATTTTCCCGAATTTTTAGTAGGGGTGTAACGGTACGCTAAAATCGTATCCGGTTCGGTACAGTGTCTTGGAGAGCTCGGTTCGGTTTATTTTTGGTACAAAACAATAAGAGCTTACAAAATCTTTATTTTGAAAAGCTGCCAATACACAATAGAATTCTTGCATAAAATAAATAAAAGTGACACATTTGGGTGATATTTTAAATAAATTGCACTCTTTATAAAGAAATACACATTTTTTAAATAAAAAATGAAATACAGCAACTAGTTAGGACCTGAAAACTTTTAACACTAGCAACAGCTTCAGCTTGTATATCAACAAAACTAACTTTTTAAGTTTTAGGCTAAAAAGATTAACCCATCCACATTTTCTGAAGAGAGCATAGATCTGGTTGCAGTGACAATATCTCCATCAGTAGAAAATGTTAGATGTGTTGCCTGCCCGATCTCCGTGGAACAATGTCGTCATACAACTTTAAATTTATCCACTCGTCTATCCCCGTTACGTATTTTAACAGAGAAGCCAAAGTGTTCCCAAACAGGAGACCGTAGTGAGGTGGGAGGGTCTTCAAGCTCTGGCTTCTCTTTCGCTGTTGCCATTACTCACAGCTAAGCGTGCAGCTCTACTGTGCGTCACTCAATAGCATCCGTGCGGAAACTCGCCTAGGAACAATGTTCTGCTGCTCTAAATATCGCGCCTCATAATAAATTTA